AAAGAAGAAATTCGTCACTGTCATCGGTAATATTAATGATTTAAAAAGTTCTTCTTTAATATTAATTATAATAATGTAAAACTTGTTTTAAAAATAATAATAATAATTATTTCCAATATAGAAATATGCGTGTGTTTTTATTTAAAATTATTAATAAACAAAGATGGACATTGTATATTGAGAAATCAGAATTTTTTTCAAAGAAATTTGAATTGACCCCAACCACAACTACAGCATCCACCTCAAAAACCAATTTAATATTAAATAAATTAAAAAACATTGCAATTGAATCAAAGAACGAGATTGAAAATGCTCAAAGTGGTGTAGGATTAAAGGGTAAATTAAAAGCAATGTTGGACTATATGGAATCAAAGATTCACCCAGAAGAGGCAATATTACAACAATTTTCAAAATTAAATAATAAGAATGTAATTAAACAAGGACACCACAACCATAGTGATCAACACCATCACCATGAACTACGTCATCACGAAAAAAACAGAACCCAAATTCAACTCGATCACTTTAATGACCACAGAGACAAACCAAGTTTTCAAATTTACTACCCATCCAACATAGGTTACAGACGTGCTCAAAGATTCTCACAAGTATTAATGAAACAAAAAATTCAATACCATAAAAAATGGCTTACCATCAATAGTCTTTTAATACCAGTTACATTTGCTGCTACCATTTTGCCAGGTCCCAATGTATTTTTAGCTTATAATCTTTATAGATGCTATGGTCACTATCAAGCTTTAAGAGGATGTAATAATCTTTTAACTTTTTCAAAAGACCATGGAAGAGTTTTATTTAAACCAAGTTTAGAAATGTTTGAATGTTTAAACCAAGAACAACAACAACAACAACAACAACATGAGCAAGAAATACAAAAAATTACAAATACCGAAAATATAATACCAACAGCCACAACAACAACAACAACAACAAATAACAATAATAATATCCAAAATAACAACTATGAAACCCTATCCGAAAGACTAAGAATACCTGGCTTGTTTGAATATGTTAAAAGAATTGAATCTTTAGAAACTAAATAAAAGCGCAGATATTAAATAAAAATAAAATAAACCAATGCTATAATCCAAAACAAATTGTCTATAATTTTTTAATTTTATAATTTTTTTTTTCTTTAGTTTTATTGTATATACATTTTTCGAATAATACTATTTATTATTACTAATACTATTATTTTATTAATCTGTTGATAGGTATTGCTGTGTTTATATATTTATTTATATATAATATATTTATTGTTGAGATTTGATTTGTAATTTGTTATTGTATGGTTGTTTGATTGTGTTGATGTTATTGTTATTATTATTTTGTTAAATAAATTGATTTATCTTTTTCTTAATTGTGAGAATTTTGATTCTAAATCGGCTCTTCTCTTCTTTTCGATAACTTCTTTACTATCAAATTCATAAACTGGTGGATTTGAAACAGAGTCAACATCAGATCTCCAAATATCGTTGAATGGGAGTGAGGTCCAAACTGAAACAGTTGCGCCATTTGAAAGAACAACCTTTGTTCTTCTGGATGATGGTGCATTACCTTTATAGTTGGTAATGGTTCTAATAATGGTCTTTTGTGCAATTGATCTGCTGAATAATTGAGTTGAACTCATTTTATATATTTGTTTCTAATATGAAAAATTAATGATTAAATTAATCGTCGAAAAAAAAAATAAAAAAAAATAAAAAAAAAGTTTTTTAAAAAAATTATAAAAAAAAAAATTTTAAAAAAAACAAAAAAAAAATAAAAAATAAAAAAACTATAGAAAATGTTTTTCGCATATGATTTATAAATATTGCTATGAAAAAAAAAGTGATAAATAGTTTAAACATTGCAAATAACATGAGTTTTGAATTTAATTTTTTAATTGTACAAGTTTAATTTTATTTAAAAAGTTTATAAATATTAGTTGATTTTTTCTTTTTTCTCTTTTTTTTTTGGTTTTGTTAATGTGTTGTTGATTTCTTTTTTTATAAAATAACTAATAAAACTGTTTATGAAAATATACCATTTATATATTCCATACGTTTCCTAAAAAAAAAAAAAACAAAAGAAGAATGAATTAACCAATGGTTTATTGACCTTTGAAAATTTGTAAAAGACCTATAAATTAAAAATAGATGAAACAGTGTTAGAAATTTTAATTTTTAATAATTTAAATAATAAAATTATAATATACATACTTGAACCAACAACAACAAAAATGATGAAGGCTAAGACGTATGGATTAATATTGAGACTCTCTTCTTTCTTTTTTGGGGCAGCAACACCTCTCTTTTCCATATTTTTGGCAAATTTTTC